AGGCCCACATCTTTTTAGTCTGGCAGTAGATAGGTAATTCGCCTGTGAAGTACGAAAACGCGCCAGGTGGTAGAAGTTTGCCAGAACCATCTTCATTCGGGTCAGAGTTAACGAAGTCTTTGTAGTCACACCTCCAAACCATAGCACATGAAGTTGAGGAAGCAAATCCGATCGGATACAAACCACTCAGGATGCTTGGTTAATCGAAGCCTGAGTAAGTTAATATAAGCTTCCATGTGCTGCACATTGATGAAAATAAGACATGAGTGAAGTCTACAAACGAAATCTACTATATAAGTCTACATATGGAGTCTACGTATGAAGTCTACATTGAAGTCTACTATTAAAGGTTAAAACACAAACTGTATCAGCTAGCCATTTTGTCGGTGTCCGTAGAATATAATATCATTCAATCGTAGAGTGTCTTGGACGTTTTGGCCAGGCACTGTATAAGTAAACAAGTCAAACAAAGGAAAATAAGGATATGATGAAGTCTACTTACATGTGTACTGAAAAAATATAAGTAGAGAAGTTTACGTAGGGGCTTGATTTCACAAATTTTATTAGAGTAGTATACTTCTTCTTAACACCAGTTTGATCGAAACGATCATATCCACGGACACAGCCGGAGTGAGAGCCCGACGTTGGAATGATTATCTTTGCGGTGCTATTTCCTATGAAAGGACTCTTCTGTGTTGCAGCAAACTGTCGATTTCTGTCACTCTTTTCCCGGGCCACTATCTGAGCAGCTGCTCTGGCTTTGCTATTTTTGGCAATTTGACCGCGTCGAAGTCGACATCACACGTCTCCGGGTCAACTTCAAAAATGCTTGTATCGGGGGCCTCTTCTTCGTCCACAGCAGCCTTCTTTCCTTTTGCATCCCCGGGGGCATTAACACTCTCACTCGCACCAACGTTCACATTATCTTTCTTAGGAACATCTTCTTTCTCTGAATTAGTCTGCAGTTTATAGTCAAAAACAGGCATGAATATACAAATAACAACACCATTGCTATAATTTAGTAACATGTTTCATCATAGTCTGGAAATTGGAAACAACTAGTTTTTAAAACATAAGTAAATAAGCTCACACAGTACATAGCACTATTAAACATATTCGAATTCAAATGACATTAGTATTAAGTGTTCCTATCTTTCGATGATCTTGTTCGCATGAAATGTTTTCATGTAGTCGGAGGGTTTTTGGTACTAACCCTTTCACGCTTCTTGGATCCAGTGACCTGCTGCTCGCTTGGCTCTACATTGTCTTTGACCTCTTCGTCAGTGTGCTTAGCCTACCCTGTAGTCAACTCCTCTACCGCGCTCTCTACAGATTCAACCTTATCGGTGATAAGTGTGATCTGCTTTTCACAGCTACCAAGACCATTCAGCATCTTGGTTGAGAAACTTTTGAAGCATTGGTCGAAGTGCGCTTTCATAGTAGCGACAACTCCGACCCCTTGATCACCAATGAAAGAGGCGGCAGAGGCAGATGCTGTACAGGTTTTCTTGCGACTTGATTCATCTCAGGGAAGGCTCCTTTTTCCTGCTTCTGCCTTGACGATGTGTGAACCCAGAACACCTTCCAAAGGCCAGTGGTTTTTTGAGAACTTGAATTGGGGGTCATGAATTGCATTGACAATCTTGACAATAGCCGGATCCTGTTGCTCATCATCCCAAACTGGAAACATATCCGCCAAGTCCTTAGCCACGCAGCACTGTATGCGAGCCTGAAAAACATAATTCGAATATTGAAGTCTACTTCATAAATGAATTACTATATAGAAGTCTACCACTGAAGTCTACTTCATAACTGAATTACTATATAGAAGTCTACAAATGAAGTCTACCACTTACTTCATAAATGAATTACTATATAGAAGTCTACTCCTGAACTAGACTTCTAAATGAGAATAAATAATACATGTTTTAGCATGTTGGCTTTGACGTTCTTTCATCCTCTTGATCCTTTGTAAGCCAGCGAAGAGGTGTAGGATCATTTGGCAATGGTTCGCCAAATTCAGCAGAAAAATCCGGAAGAACATAGTACACCCATACTTGAAGAGCTTGCACAAATCCTTCTATATGAATATTTTTGCTGAGATCTTTCTCCTTGACAGACTTGATCAGATGTTGAAAAGCAATTCTTCCCCATGGGAACTCCTTAAAACCTTCGAGATCTAACACTAGTCTGGCATGGTTGACATTTGTGGATAAGGCTGGTTCCGTTGCCACTATGAAACCAGCGTAGATCCCAAGATATCCCAAACGCAGCCTATCATCCCGAGACCATGATGAGCAGTTGGAACAGGCTTCAATTATTTCGAGTGTGCATGGTCCCAACTCGACATCGACCCCATTTGCTCCCTGAATGCCTGCATTTCATCGGAAAGCTCAAGATCAGCTATAGCAAAGTCATCCACGTACCCGCAGTTGAGTCCGGTGATCTCCTCAAACTCATGCAATGAAAACCGAACTGGAGTGGTACCAATCAGGCTCCATATCTTGTACCTCTGCTTGCAAACTATCTGAAAGGTCAGCATGTCGTGCACCAGCCTAGAAGCCCAAACAAAATCCAAGTAGTGGAACTTTAAGAAGACACCCAACGGTGACTCGTAAATCTCTTCCCATTCATCTTCTCGTAGAGCTTCCCGTAGTGCAGGTGCCAGCCTATAATCATCAGCATAATATCCGATGCTTTTATCCGGGGCTGGCTCACCGCCTTTTGTGTAAAATCTTCTAGGAATTCAGAGGCCACCATTATCTAACACAGTATTCTGCATCAACGGTAACAAAACTTAAATCAGAAAACTAGTTATAACTAACGGTTTGAAACTATACACGAATGAAGTCTACTCTTGCAAAATGAAGTCTACTTTTGCAAAATGAGTCTACTTTTGCACAATGAAGTCTACTTTTTGCAAAATGAAGACTACTTTGCAAATTGAGTTCTACTTTTACAAAATGAAGTCTACTTTTGCAAAAAGAAGTCTAATTTTCACATTCTAAGTACAATCCGACTCGAGAAGTCTACTGAAGCCAACCGAAGCAATCTATACATCAAAAATACAGTATAGAAGTCTACTGAAGCCACATGAAGCAATCAATACATCATAAATACTGTATATGAACTCTACTAAAACCAATCAATCCAAATGGAATCTACAAAGTAAATAGTGTTTACAGCCGTGATTAGATAAAGCCGGCGTCGAGAAAATGCAACCAGATCTGCAAAAAAAAAACTATGTACTCAAACCCGACGGACAAAATTACAGGAAGATATAAGAAATAGAGGAACAGCTACGTATATATCTTCGGAAGGACATCTACTAACCATTTTGAAGCAGGAAATGACGTTAACCCCCAGCGGCGAAAGCAGATCTGCCAAAAAAAAACCCTAATTTCAGATCTGGACATTGTTGGTTACGAAAACGGAATGGTGATGAACACGGAGGAGCAGGGAAGCATGTGGGTGATGTTGGAGGAAGAAAATTTGCCTGAACAGGGTTATCGGCGGCGGTGGTGTAAGTCGGCGGCACCGGAGAAGAGAAACAAAAATCGCTTTCGTCTTTTTTTTTAAACAAGAACTTTCGACGGTTTTTTTTTACGGGATCTGTAAAATTCCTTTATATAGTCGATTAATTCCATTCGGTTCGGGTAAGTTTTTTCCGGTTAGGTTAATAATTTTTCTGGGACTAGGTAAATTTACCCGGTTACGAGCAGTTTTTCTTGGTTAGGGGAAGTTATTTCCGGTTCAATTTCGGTTTAAATTTTGGTTAGGTTAATTTATTCGGTTTAGCAGTTTAATATAGAAGTCTACTAATTTTAAAACCTAAATAATAGTTTTTTTTCTTCTTAATTTAAAAACATAAATTTCCATTTATCAGTATGAAAAAAAAAAATTATGTACATTTGGGTTACAATTACAGAATTTATGATTATTATTTTGATACCAAAATAATTTTTTCTAAATTTCAAAATTAAATTTTCTGATTAAATTACTTAGTAGACTTCATTTCGTTTGAACAACATCTACTTGTAGACTTTTATCACTCTTTTAGTAGATTTCGTCAGAGTTTAAACGGTAATTAGGACATCCGTTTTTTGTTTGGTCATACAGGATTAAATGATATTTTCACTACCTATTTAGTTATTTTGGCCAAATGTTTTTTCAGATGTCTACTTTTATATTAGAGTCAAGTTTTAGGTCATTTTTAACAAAAACCCATAAATAATTAGAAACACAGTTTCACGCATCAACTAATTATAGTTCTCGGTGAATTAAACCAATTAGATGTAATCTACGTGTTATAATCTATTTTAGTTCCAGTATATGTCGCATGTGAATTGTTGAAAAGAGAAGAAGGGAAGTTTACTTCAATACGAGGGCGTTCAGTTTACGAACTTGGTATCAAATCCGCTTCAAAACACACTTGCCTAGTATCAAAACTTGTTAACCGGCTTGATTAATAACAAAGATTTTTTTTTTTTTAATTACCTGAAAGTTCTGAACAAAACCCATAATTCCCCAGTCCAAAACCATGTAATATTAGTTCGGTTCCAAAGAAAGATTTCCTAATGTAAAATATTTTCTTGGTACATTTGCCAACAGTTATGAAATGAACAGCTCGGTTTCATGTATTTCACAAATGTTCTCATCAATCAAACAGTTAGTAAGAAAATCAACATAATCAGGCGAATATCGTGGATCTTTAGGACCTGCACGGCTGCACTCACTCGGTAATCGTAAACTACTCATCCTTTTTTTTTGTAAGTTTGTAAGACAGAAGTAACGGTTCAAGGTTTATGTTGGTGGATTTTACTTAAGGGAAAGGACACCATGCCTTGGCTTGCACGGCATAGGCAGGTATCCTGACACGCGGTGGTTTTCAATTCTAACTGGTGGCGCATATCTCATCATGTCTGTGTTATATTTTGATATTAGTTTACATTAATTTAACATAATCGCATAATAATTTGTATATTTTTACTTCTTAGACAAAATATTTCCACCATATTAAATCTGATATGCATAATGCATGTATAGTAATATAGACAATGTTGTGTATATGTAAACTGATCATGTAACATAGACGAGGCTAAATAAAAACTAAGTTCAGATGTCCTTTTGTAGATTTGGATATAAAACCAATAAAGTTAGAATCTATATAAAGACTATAGTTTAGTATTGGATATAATTTGATGGACGGCTCTTTTGACCTCAGCGATGCTTGGTTTCTTTCCTCTCACTTTCGCCCTTATCTCTGCCTCGAAATCATGTTCATTAACCGCGGTTTGAACCCCTGTAGTCTCTATACCAAGTTCCTTTAGAGCCTGAAGGATGTCGAGCAGTAAACCATCTCGGTACTCGCATCTCATTTCTAACAAAGCATCGCTCTCTATTATGGAAACTTCCACCTCTTCTGATGTCTTTCTCTTGCAAGTACGCAACCTCTTATGTTCTTGCCCGTGATGAATAGTCTCCAACTCATGGACCCTCTTTCGAAGATGGTTTACGTATTCAATGGTGTCTCCAAGGATTGAGGCTTTATCCATCTTGGTCACGAATGGAACCAATGATCTCAAAGTTATGAATCTCTCGTTCAGCTTCTCCCTCCTGCGTCGCTCTGCCACCACGTGGTTAAGCTCTTCCCGCGGTAGCCTCTTATCTTTATTGTTGTCGTGGAGGAAAGGTACTCTCAAGATTATATGTTTGAGCATCCATTGCGACGACGACGCTTTCTCCACCTGCTGATGCTCTTTGACATTCTCAACCCTCCACGTGTGAAACGATGATTGGACGTAAGAAGATGTGGAAACTGAATCTGAAAGAAGACTCGTGGGTTGTGACATGAGAAGTGTTGATACTGTCTGAGAATAGTTTCCACCCTCCTCCATTAGATTCATCATGTCCATGTGTGTGTCTATATATACAAAATGATAGATTTTTAGATATAGCAAAGAAATGAGAAACATCTTTAAATTTCTTGTTACCATAATAACTAATTTAATGTATAAATAGTGTATACCTAAAGTGTGAGTTGATTCTATATGGAAATCAGAGAGTAGATTTTGATTCGAGACGTCATCATCATCAGGAGAGCCAATCCTTATCTCCTCTGACATTGTCATTTCTTCTTCTACTTCTTCTTCCTCTTCTTCGTCTTCTTCATGCTGATCTACGTTGATGGAGTGTTCAGAAAGAGCAGGCTTTGGATTTGACTTGGGGTGGTTATGGAAGAAGCTCTTTATGTGCTCAACAAACTCTACATCTTCTTTTACCTTCACACACAAACAACAACATATCATGCATGTATCAATCTCCTTAATTATCCCTCTCAGATAGTCTATTTCTCTTCTATTTTTTCTCGTAACCATTTGGCTATGTATATAAAGAGAGATGCGCCGTACCTTGTTTGTTGTGCCTAGTTCCACAACACCATCAAGCATCGGAATGCAAACCACTGTCTGCTTTTTCATTATATTTTTCATCATACATGTAAATATATGTAATGATATACTATTAATAATGATAATGTTTAATTACCTGAATTTTGGCACTCTAACCATTAAGGAACCGAGTCAACCGACAAATGTAGAATGAGCATCCAAGAAAATAAAGAAGAGAAGATTCATTAATTTATAGGATCATCATGAGATATATAAATAGGTAGAAGTAGATTCACAGTGCAGTGTTGAATGAAAAAGGAAATAAGACCTTTGCGAGAATTGCCCTAGAAAAGATTTTACTGTCAACCTCGTTTGCACCACTTAGCCAAACGTGCTTCCTCCTCGCATAAGCCTTTCCTGGCATCCTACAAATTACCACTTCCACATTTATATTTGAGTTTTTTCCTTTCATACTATAGAGAAAAGCATTGATTATACCATAACTAACTCACTTTGTCATGCATTTATATATTATCTATTTATGCTTCTACTTTAGATAATCAATCAACAACAAAAAAAAATAAGTTTTCAACGGTCCAATTATGTTCACCAAAATGGAGTGTACGTTTCATTAACTCTCGAATATATTTCCTCTTTCAGTAACTCAAACTCCTCAGTTTCTCTTTAATGCTTCCACAATTTTCGTTATTCGCATTTAACACACAATACTATTTTTGTCTTCACTGAGAGAAGATAGAGAGAAAAAAAAACAAATTAAGAAACTTGAGTATAGAGAGAGAGAAAGAGAGAAGTTGTGTACCCGGAAGGAGGAGGGAAAGAGAAAGAAACACACATTAGATAAAACCATTCAGTCTCCGTCAAATCCTCCGGTGACAACGCGGTGCATGCTCTCGTTTCTGACGATGACTCTCCGGCCAAAAGTGTCTCGTAAAGCTCCCTGAGCTGTTGGCTTCTCTCAAGAGCAGCCTCTTCTGCCGTCACTTCCGCCGGCTGAGTTGTCTTTCTCGTCTTTATTGCACCATTGTAGTATCCATTCTCCCAGACCAATACCCTAAATCATTTCTACATATAATTACTTCTTTTTATTACCCTTTTTTGGGTGAAGTACATCTTTTTGTATCACATAATAAGGATACAGATATAGAATATTAGGGTTTTACTGTGAGAGATGGATGAAATTTAAAAAGAAAAAAAAAAGAAAGAAGAACCTTTGTTGAGGACATAATTGCCAGAAAATACTATAAGTCCACTCCACAGATTGTACCGCCGCCTTAAGCAGCCCTTGAAGCTCCCTTCTTTCAGCTCCGATGACTTTCTCTGCCGGAATAATACTTGATTCATCCATCTTCCCGGAGATCAAAACTTGTGTTAGCTTTCTCTCTCTAATAAACAGAGTACTTTGAAGGGTTGTTCATATTATAGATGTCATCATAAACGCTATTTTGGTTCATGGTGATTTATAATGATAGGGGACCACGGATTTTGCAATATGTATGTACACATACTATTTTAAATCCTTTGTAACATGTTGACATAAGTAAAGAGTAATGTAAGTAATTTCATGTATATATATATATGACAAAAACTCGGGATGTAGTAAAAGTTGACTTTTGAGTTTTGACTGGTTGGTCCACCAGACGTTGGATGAGCTGAGAGTAGTAGTATACAGATGAAGTAAATACGACTTAATTATTTTGTAGGCGTGTCCTCCATTGATTGCATAAATCAAAATGCAGAATGCATTTTTCTTAATATGTTATAAAAATTTGATTGTTCAGAATGCATAACATGTTGTAGTAGAAAAAATAGCTAACTGACAAATAGGAGAAAACAGAACTTGCTTTGACTTTTGTTACTACTGCTGCAGGCGCAAAGAAATTGCGTTTATTTTACATTTTTTAGTTTATACAATTTACAGTGTTTTTAATAAATAATTTTCAAAGAGTACGAAATTTTGGATTAACTTTTTTTTTTACTTTCGGAAGATGAAAAGAGAAATACACTTAATATAAAAAAACGAAGAGAATGGTAGAATGGTTGACCTGACCTGACCGGTAAGTAAAGAAAGAGAAGTGGTTTGGTGTAATAGGAGGAGAATGAGATGTTTCACAATTCGAGTTTTTAATTTTTGATGTTAATCGTTTGCCAAGTAGGCTGTAGCCACCATGTTTTCCTTATGTCTTACAAAAATCCTATTTATAAATATAGGTAGATAAATAGATTCATTTACGTACACATATAAATATAATACATACAATTGAGGTAATGGTATGGGACTATGGGTGATGTACACATGGTTTGGACAAAAATCAACATTAATTGTTGCTTGGCTTTTTTGTCGACAACAAAAAATATTTTGCTTCGCTTTTGCTTCTTACTTTTGTCTTTTGAATTAGGTTTTTACTAATTATGTTTTCTTTACTGACTGCCACGTGAATGACTATGTCCATCCAAATCCATTCAGAAGTGGGATGAAGATTTTTCAAATCTTACGACAAGGCCATGCACCCACATAATGTGAGCAAGACACTTTTCGAGCGCACATCTTTGTTGCTCAATAATGATTCTCATTCCTTGAATCTCTGTTTCTTCTAATTGCTTCCTCGATAAATTTGGAGTGTTAAATAGATTCCAGAAGTCTAGAAAAAGATGAACATATTGACGTGACTAGCTGAGCAACTTGAAGATGATGGGCTTCTAGCCTTCTAGGGAGGCTTGAAGTCAATAATCTCCCTTATGTTTAACTATTTTTTTTGAAGCCCCTTATGTTTAACTTTATGGAAGCTCCCATGGAAGAATATATATGTACTGTATGTTGGAATTTGTTTTTTTTTTTAAGGTTTTTGCCACATTCTGATGACTTTTTATAAAACAATCCAGTCGTTAGAGTGATGGAAGCACATATAATCGCTAAATTCATTGTTGTGATTAAAGTAAAAAACATAATTTGTTTCAATGAGAAATATACGGAGGTCCATAGTAGTTGATTGTTGAGTTTAAAACATAATACAATAGAATCTCGATAAATTAATAATTACTATAAAATAATAAATTTTGATGGTCCTAAATCGGATCAATGTAAAAATCTATCAAATTTAATAAGATAATAAGATAAAAAAATAAAAACCTCTATGTAAATATATGATCCCAATAAAAATATAAATTAATAATTATATAAATTTATGCAAATATATGTAAATATTATATTCTAAAATATGATTAATATGTTTGCTTTTACTTAAAGTTAAAATTTCATTGGATCTCATCTCTCTAATTATTATATTAATAGCTTTTGTTTTTGTTTTACAATATGCATTCAAAATTTTTTGATGTGATAATTGATTTTTTTACCTGTAAATATTTCTAAATTTATTGTAGTGTTATCTTCAATTTTATCATCAATAATACAGATAAAAACTATGTTTTTTATAAATTTAATTTTATAAACATATATATTTTTATATGAACAATCTAATATTTTATTAAAACTATTCCAATGCGATAACTATGATTGTTAATCATAACTTATATTAAGAGATTGTTTAAATTTTTAAATATAACATTATTTGAAGAAAAAAAATTTAAAAAGTTATAGACATAAAGCAAATTTTCTCTATAAATAATAATAATTATTTTATAGATAAATTAATATCATAATAAATTAATAAAATATTATGGTCTCAATATTATTATTTTATAGATGTTTTACTGCAATTATAAAATATCTCACATTGGAAACATCATGTAAACTTCCTCATAAGATATATAAAGTGGAGAAATTGTAACAAAGTTCAAAACCTCAGATGCACTTAAGTGTATTTAATAAATGAGATTTCCAGGACAAAATTCGGGTTTAATCTATTATATTAAAACAGAAGCACTTTTAGTACTTGCATCCAAACACTCCCAATTTTTTTTTAAATAACTATTTGAAAACAGTTTTAAAATTATCTTATTTTGTTGTGATATTATTTTTAAAAATATATTTTCTTTTATATATAAAACTAATTACGAAAATTAGAAATCAATTTAGATAATTAAAGAAATTCTTAATATATGTTATATTTAATTTAAAATTTAAACTTATTAATTTTTGTAACTAAATTTAATTCTGAATAATATATATTAATTTAAATTACTTTAGACTTTCTTAAATATAGGTTCTTTGAATTTAACATTTAAAATTCAAATGATATTTTCAGAATAACACATATGATTAACGAATACTCATTGTATTTTTTAATCATATTCAATCAGACTAAAATTTCATATATTGAAAACTGATAAATATTAATATTATATGATAATTTGATGGGATAAGTTATGTTTTTTTTTATAATTGTGGTCTTATGCGGGTTAAGTTACAAGATATTAAAATAAAATTAATTTCAAAATTAATAAATATTTATATTATATAATAATATGAATGGACGATTTAAAATTATAGTTTTATAACTATAGTCCTTTCGGATTAATAGAATGAGCGAGTTATATATATGTTTTTATAATAATATTTATTTTTTTATTAATAGAATGACCGAATAAGAATTATGTTTTCATGATCGTGGTCATAATAATACTAAAAAAAATTAAAATATATAGATTGTTTATGTGTAAATTTAAATTTACATAATAATAAAGTTCATAATTAACATTATATTAATATATATATATAATTAATCGATATTTTTATTCTACTAATATACAAATCTATATTATTTAAAGTCAAAACATGATAACAAATTTTTTAATTTGAAAAATAAATAAATAACAAAACAAACTATATCTAAACAAAAAATAAATACAAATTATATTAAAAAAAAACAAAATATTTTCGTGCGTCCACGGGGATTAGAATCTAGTTATTTGACCTATCCTCCGTTTAACTGAGTGTGTAACGACAAAATCAAAACGATTGATTTGTGTATGTTAAAAAATCACGACTTAAGTGGAGATCAATTCTTAGTAAGGTCGTATCCTTACTTCATTGCTCATAGGTTGAGGTATATTAGTCTATATAAACAAGTCTGACTCCTTTTCTCTTCATCCAATAATAATAATAATAAATAAAAAAGGCAAAACCCTCACAATCTCTTTCTTCTCTCTGTTTTTCTCTCCTTCAATAAACTACGATCTTCGGTGTTGGAAGACAGAAACAATGCAGCTGTATTTTAGGAACTGTATGTAGGCTTAAAATATTGAGATAAATATTGCAAAAATAAATAGAGAATAATTTTTTAAAAAATACGAGTTACAAAAATATAAGAAATGGAGGGGAGCATAACTCTTTCTTTAATCTGAAATATCTTTCACAGTGTGACTGTTTACGAGATAACGAATCTCAGAATACAACTACTGTGAAACTATAATCGCAACACCTGACTATAGAATCGATGAACTGATCGTTCTACGATATACTCTCAGACTTACTTAGAAGAAGACTAAAGCAAGAAAGAGATTGCTATATAATGTGAGTTTTTTCTCTATGTAAAGAAGAGAAAGTAGATCAGAGAACTTAAGAAAGACAAAAGACCTTTTATATAGTCTCATAGTTTTGCCCAGTAAGTATAGGCAATAATAGAGAGATGTGGAGGTTACAAATTCAAATTGATTCTGAGTCAATTGTGAATAAAATAGATTATCAATATTGAATTAAATTGCTTGGTTGACCAGCAATTTAAAACAATTTTGAGCCAAAACAATCTTTACCAAATTAATAAGCCATTAGGCTTTGATTAAATTTGGTCCAATAACCCCCCCCCCCCTTCACAAGAGTAGAAATAACTCTAGACATACGAAGACCGGACTGATCGATAAGCTATACTTGACTAGACTAGACGCGACTTGACTAGACTACATAGACTTTCGAGAGTATAAGCAAAAAATCACTGTGTTTGAGATGGTAGTGTGTTTCAACCTTGTACCACTCAATGTTAATATCTGTCAGGCTTACTTGGCCAGGAGGTGAACATGATATCTTGAACCACCTGGATTTTGATGTAAACCAAGACAATATGTACAACCCAGTTTAATTTTCTCGTGGAACTTAGTTCTCTATTGTGTTCATTGTGTCATTGAACTTTCCTGATTAATCATGAGTGAACTTGGAGAATATAGCATGTTCTTCATTGATGTATGCCTCGGGGTAGAGTCACACAATGAATCGATGGAGATCTAACAAGCTGGCCTTCGCTCTCTCTTGTTGGATCGGTTCAGGGGAAGTGAGGGTGGATCGATGGCACCACAGAGAGGATGGAGGGCTCTCTGATACAACAAACACTAACCTTTGAGTGGAATCACACACACACAAAGGCAAGCAACTCTTTCAAGCAAAATCTTCAAAGAAAACAGCGTTATTTTATTAATAAGCAAAAAGGTGTCGAACTACAAAGCTGCAAGGGGACTTTATAAACAGTCCATCAACTTGAACCTTCTAGGGTTCGACTCAAATGAAAAGAAAAGACTCAAAAACCACAGGACTAAGAAACAAAAGAAAACGGCAAAGAAACAAGTAAACAG